CTACATTCATTGTAGTGCTTATTTCTCTTTCAAGCCCAAGGATGAGCCCTGCCACCACAATGTTACTGGAAAATTGATTCGATTTTCTCCAATTATCCGTTCAAGAAAACAAAGAATCAAAAACTGGCAGCCAGCTAAAGCAGCCTTTTTTTTTTCCTGACAAAGAAGGCAATAATGTGCACCACTTTCTGACTTCCATCCCATCTGGATATAGATGACCTTTATTGTAAATGTTGTGACATATCCTGTTATTCTTAAACTGCATGGCTTCATAAGTAAGCAACACTTCTGAGCTCCAATCTATGTCTTGAGAAGCTGAGAGAAAATTGTTTTATGGACAACTTGGACTACGAGGAAATCATAGTTCATGCTTCTTCAGAAATTCTGAGAAAGAAAGAGAACAATTACTGAATCCCAATGAGGCCCAAGTTCAACGAAGCTTCTGTACCTGCACTTTTGGCTTCAACAGAGTATGAAAATTTTGTGAAGCTGAATGCAACAAGAGACAATGAAAGTAAACAGCTAGAGGGGTTCCTCTCATCCACTATTGCACTGATAATAGTGCTGACTATTATTTTCTCTTTAATAATGACATCCCTGGGGACCTATTGTTTCCACAAGTGGAAACTGCGGGGTAAAAAACTGCAGAAAGCGCAAGAGGAATATCAGAAAGACCATGAAAAGAGTATGTTTCAAAGCACATCTGGAGTAGTTTCATAAACAATTGAACCAATATGACATATTTCTGCATTACCTAAAAAAGAAAATAGAGAAAAGGACTGGACACTAGACACTGAAATATCCAAGCAAAAATATCTTTGTTTTACCTAATTTGTAAGAGTTGCTAATGGTTTGGAAATTTCTTACAGCTTTATTATAAGCCTAAGATATATTCAGTTGCCTCATCTGCAAGAAGTAAAACCCATGCAACCCTGCATTTTAATCAGGACTTGGTTCTCAAAGAAACTATAGGTCCATCCCTGCTGTCCCTACTTTATCAAACCTCTGATGGCCTATGGAAATCAGGGACAAGACCCTCAGCTTATGCAGATCTGCACAGCTGATAAAAATCAATGAAGCTATGCAGATTTGCACCAGTGGATGATCTACCCCCGAATTTTACATACTAATAGGAGCTGTATCTGAATAAGGTTCCCAGGATCACCTTTAGGAGCAGCTTAGCCTGAAGCCTCCTGGTGCAGAACTCCCAATAATTTCAACAACAGTCCCATGCTCAGAGAGCTCCCAGGATTGAGGCCTAAGTTTGCTACCATGTTGTAAGTTGATAATAGTTCCATTTCTCACATTTAAGGTCCAGGAGCTGCAAGGTGCTGCTGACATTCCACTTCTATGGGAGCTGAGGCCACTCAGCACCATGTAGGATGGGCCCTAATTTATCAAGAAGAAAGCAAGCACTTTTCTAACCAGGCTTGCAATTATTTTTAACTAGGCTTACAATGGCGTGTTTCTATTTTCGTAGCCTGTAATGTTATGTCATGGAAAAAGATGACAACTCTATTGTGGGTAGCAAATGTAAGTAATATTTTCTAACAAAGTGTTGGATGTAACATTAGTATAAGTAGCTGTTTTAAAATGTAGAAAATGTGTTAAAACACAAACAAAACCCCTGATTAAGCATATAGCTTGCTTGCAGTTACCATTAGTTGATGCTGTATGTATTTTTAAACAAGCTATAATACTGTGATAATGCTGTAAACTTGCTTTGGTAAGCAAAAAAAATGTTCTATTTAAAACTGGCAAGAAGATTAAAGAGATACACGTTCTTAACAGTGGCATCAACTAATATGGATTTTCACAGGATATTCTACAGGAAACCTCTACTACATGCTACAGATATATTTTACAATGTATTTATGGATCATACACATTACTGTATGTGAGAACAAACAGTACTATTTTATTACAAAATAAATAAATTAAGCAGTGAATGCCACATCCAGAAGATGGATAGTGTTTTATTAGGGCCCCTCGATCAATGTTCTGAGCAGCTGGAAAAGATGCATTGCAAATAGAGGAAGAAGGCCATTATCTTTATTGGCAGAGGGGTTGAATGTTTTTCCTCCCAATACCTCCCCCCTCTTCTGCCACACTCACAGAGTTCATCAATCCCATTTTCATATCCGTGTAGGCAAAGAGCTACAGGACAATGACTATGTCGGAGAAGGAACACTTGGCTGGGGGAAGAAAAAGCAAGCCTGTTACATACCTCTGATTGAAAATAAAAAAAAAATCCTAAAAAACTGTGAATTTTTAATAGTGTTGCCTGTTATACTCCCTGTGCTATATGCAGCAATCTGCACATGGATTGAAGGTCAAGGCAAGTTTTTAGTCAGTGGATATAAGAAGAAATGATTCTGTGAACTGTCATACCCAACACTAGTTGTGATTTGGGCGAATTCCTGCATTCTTAGTTTTAAAAATCATATACAAAAAGGGAATCCCATTGATAGCAACATGTATAATTTGGGGAAACTGTCCTGAAATGAATGGAGCTGGGTCAGATCTGCAGCAGTGTAGTACTGGGTTTGGTCAGGGACAGGTTAACCCTTAAGTGGGCCCAAAGCAAACAAACTCATGGGCCTCTACTTAATACTGTATATTTATATTGCTTTTTTAACTCAATAATTATAATATGTAAAATAAGCACAACTGGGCCCTTTCTTCACTTAGGGCCCTAGGCATGTGCCTAGCTTGCCTATGCATTAATCCGGCCCTGGGTTCAGCAACCTATGGCCTGTGGGCCAGATCCAGCCCGTGAGTAGACTGGAGCCAGCCCAGGTCAGTTCAGAGAATCGCTCAGGCCACAGTCGTGGAGGAAGCATGCCTAGGGTCCTAGTGCCTGGTGAATTCAGTTTGTTCTCTGCTGTACCAGGGGACACATCCCTGGGGTCCTAGGGCGTGCCTTTTTCTATTTATTTCTATTTTCTATCTATTTCTATCTGCAGCATCTGTTGATTACCAAGAAGGTGCAGAATTGTGGCCTATGGTGGGGGTTGGGTCACAAACAGTAGCTCACTGTGGCAAAAGGTTACCAACCCCTGGTGTAGAAGATGGGCCCCGTGTCACCATGACAGTTCAACATCATAGCAGGACACTGCTCCTTATAGCAACATAACTTCATATTCAGTTCCACCAATTTAAGCTCCAACCAAGCTTCCAATCTGAATAACTTGGAGCAAATAAGCTTCATAGAAATTAATGACAGTGGCAGTGGCGAGAGTTATAAAATATGTGTCATTTTCCTACCAATGATGTTTGAAGATAGTTGATCTGGGGTATATTTCTGAGAAGGTGAAATTCCTGGAGGAGCTCGTGGCATCTCAAGCCTATTTTTCAGCACACAGAAGCTTGCACACAGTGAAGGGATTTAAGACTGCTGTAGGGATTACAGGGAGAGAAGAGTTGAAGACAAGTGGACAGGGAAAGGTGTACTGCCAGTTTGTTTTTGTTTTTTATCTCTGTCCCTAATTCATATCCAGCCCAGGTCAGTAATGCTCAAACATCAATACCAGCTGAACTTACTCCAGTGGCCTCTGGAGAATGAGACAGAAGTCTCAGTCTCTTTCCCTAGTGTATAAGCATGCACACCAGAGTTCAGCAGTATAACTGCTCCTTGGATGACAGTCTAAGGAATTAATGGATTAATAAACAGAGATAACCTCATACCTTAGAGCTGATCCTTCCAAAGAGAGTTTAGGCCAACACCATTCACCAGCAAGTTTAGTGACCAATAAAGTGCAGCCTCCCAAATACCAATGCCAATGCACATGCAAAATGATAGGGGTGCACTAGTAGACATTTGAAGGCCAATAACAATAGCAGATTTTTAAGGAGGCATATCGGCCAATACCAATCCAATATCCAATACAATCTTGTGGTGGAAGGGAAGGATGGAGGGAAGGGATGTGGTGGGGGCAGATCAAGGCCCCTGCAGGGAGGGAGGGAGTGGGGCTGGGGGAGAGACTGGGGTAGATGTTACCCAGCCAGGGAGGGATGGGGTATGGGACAGAGCCATGGCTCATCCAGGGGACACGGGGGTGGAGGGCAGCTCCTGCCACTTCACAAACCCTGGGAGGGCATTGGAAGGGAGCGTGTGCCCCCAGGAACTGCGTGGGGTAGCGTAGGCTTCAGCTGTGGGCTGGGGCTGTATGGGGCTCTTCCTGGCGGGCAGTAGTCGGGCTGGGCTGGGCTGTGCTCAGGGTGAGCAGCGGTGGCACCAGGAGGGGGACTACAGGGTGGGGAGGGCTGCAGACGCTCCAAATTTTGCCGTATCACCTTCATAGCCCCCTCCCAGCACAGCTGCCATGGGCCCTGAGCACAGCCCCAGCCCAATCCCCCACCCCTCACATATGCTGGGAAGAGCCCAGTGCAGCCCCTGACCCCAGCCCACAGCTGCAGGCCCCCCTCCCCACGCAGATCCAGGGGAACACCCCCCCACCCCTCCAGGGTTTATGCAGCAGCAGGAGCCCCCACCTCCCCATACCCCCTGGACAAGCCTCAGTTCTACCCTATACCCTGCCCTGCCCTCCTGGGCAGTACCTGCCCCAACCCCTGCCCCACACCCTCCCACACCACAGGGGCCTTGATCTGCTCCCCCATGCCCCTTCCACCACACCAGACTTACCAGCTGCATGCAGCTCTCCAAGATGCCGGGCTGTGCTCCTCGCTGCCTATGTGCTCCACTGCAGCTGCATGCATGCACAGGCATTTATTGGCCAAATTTTCAGCCACATCAGGCCGATTTCTGATACAATCAATTTTCTTTATATCGGTGCCAACCCGATATGAGACTGATATATCGGTGCACCTCTACAAAATGAATCAGTGCATGCAACAAAAAATGTCTTCTTTGCATTTGCAAGATGTTCAGAGCAATACACTCTAATATTTCATGTCTTTCAGAGGATTTAAAAAAAAGGGGGGGTCACAGTATGTAATATGAAAACTAAAAAAGAAAACCTCCAAGAGACACTTAAGAATAGGTGGATTAATTTGTTTCAGTGTCAAATCTGCTTAGTACATGAATCACCTTTGATCCACTTTACTCCTTTTAAATGCCAGTAAGCACAAACAAGGGAAGCAGAAGAATAAATCAAGGTTTCTTGATCGCAGTTTTCAGGTCGTTTCTCCAGATCAAAACAAAAATCTCATGGGAAGGGAGCAGGAAGAGTATAAAAAACAGAGTACTGAACTACATTCTGTCCTGTGGCCTCCATGTCAAAATTCTTCAGTTGCTAGTTTCAAGCCCTGCAGGAGTACAAAATAAGTCAATTACGGGGCAAGATCTTTCATTTGATTTATATCATACATTACTAAAACAGCAACCAGGTAACAGATAACAAGAATTCAGATCCCAGAGTTACTCTCAATAAAAACTGTAATAGGAGAACTCCAGAGCTGCACTGAAACTTCAGCACAGAGCAGTAAAAAAAAACAAAACCCAACAAATAATAGAGACCACATAAGTCTTGAATTTTCATAAAAGCTTTCTGATTTTTCTCTCTAAGTTTTCTGTATGTAAATAAGCACTTATTACTTGCACAGAACTATCAGTTTGAAATGATGCTTTATAGACACATAAAATTGCCAGATACCAAACCCCAAAAACATAGAGTTCTATGTATTTACACAAATGTTTGACAACTGAGAGTTAGAAAGAAATGCTTCATGGTTTCCAGTGATAATCTAGACCTCAAAAGCAGTGCTCAAATGCACTGTTTGTACTATGACAAGACAAAGAGGATATGTATTTAGATTCCTATATTTCATTTTCCATGTTTTTGGAAATGAAACAAAATCACACAGATGTATTATCTTCCACTATGTTATGCCTATGTAAATTTTCAGAGGGATGGAGGTTTGGCTTCCCACTTTGTTTGTGACAGAGCCCTAAGGACACATCTGGTGAAGTGATGCATGTACTTTTGCTAACCAAATTTTAAAAAGTTATTAGAAAGAGGCAGAAGGAAAGTAAATCAGGTCACAACATACAGGTGGGGCAAGAGTAGAATGTCTGACAAGAAACAGCTTATAAAACTGAGAAAGAGGAGAGTTACAGAGGGTTTAAGAGCATCTAAGGGTGTATAACCCAATAGCAGCTTGTTTATTATCTAAGCAAGCTATATAACCTGCAGCCATGATCTAAAAATGAAAGCAAAGTTTAGGGGGCTCTTAAGATGAACTGTGATACCCAGGGGTTTGCTGCAAAGTGGAATAAGCTGCCAGTGAGAGAATGAGAGAGGCTAGCATTGAAGAATTCAAGATGGCATTAAATTTTCACTTGAGACTTGACCTACCACATTTACTCAAGTCCAAGACACGATTTTCCTTCCCCTTTCAACATGGAGGGAAAAGAAACCTCGTCTTAGATTCGAGTACTGGCCTGGGGCAGGAGGCTGCTGCAGCTCTATCTCCAGCCCTGTTATGGGGCAGACTGTGCAGTGAGCTGTGGTAGAGAGAGGAATGCAAGCCTGGAGGAGATCACACAGCATGTGGCCTGGGGACAACGTTGGGGAAAGTGTGGTGCATGGTGAGAGAAGTGCTGGGGAGGACCATGCAGTAGTGGGGGAGCTGCTGCAGCTCTAGCATTGCCTCCAGCCTTGATCCAGGGCCAGGGCTGGGGCTGCTGCCTGGCTGCGGCCACAGCCACTGTGTGCTCTATAGCCAGACAAGGAGCCAGAGCTAACACACAGGGTATGTAACAGGGACTGGGGGGCAAGTGGCTGGGGAGGGGCAGGGACAAGAAGGAGGCAAGTGGCAGGAGGCAGGCACTGGGGCAGGGGGGACAAGTAGTGGGGAGGGGGCAAGAACCAGGTCGCAAGCCCTCTGCCATTGCTTTCCCTGATGCTTGCCCCCCTGCTGCTGCTGCTTTCCCAGCTGCAACAATGTGGGGGGGGGAGCAAATATAAAATGATCCTCCAATAATTAATTTCTATACATGGAAAATCATAACAAATGCATAATTTTCCACATACAGAATCTAATTATTGGGGGGTTGCATGAAATTTAAAATCTTCTTGGATTCAGGTAAATATGGTCCTTTGGCAAAACTCCCTGTGAAAACAACTGTGGTAAATTATTTGCATCACAAGGTAAGAGATAATGTAAATGAACTTGCTGTTCCCTCTATTTTTATGTTCTTTTAGATTTAATGTTGATTTGTGAGTTGTGAAACAGCATGGTCACCTTGTGTCCCTGGATACGCGGCTTCATACCTATAGTATGTAACATATACTACATATTTAAGATCTGTGTACTTGGAAACTGTTTAAGCAGAACACTAAATCAACTCCATCAATAGATTTTCTTGAACCAAAATGAAAAAAAAATGCAATGCCATTATGGCTCAACAAACATCTGACCTCTTAGGCTGTGACCTTCTTCAGACATGTATTTAATACACAAAAGATAATCTTTCTAGGCTCCTTAGGGCTGTAGAATATCCAGATGCACTGAACACATGGAAGAAGCATGGAGGCTGCACAGACCCAATCTATGACCCACGTGGATCCATTAGCTACAAGTGCCTTGCAAGAATGGTGCATAGCTATTGCTGGTGAATTGATTCCTGTATCTGTAATTCTTCCCACATGCCTGCTTCTGGGTTAGGGTGAGGGAGAGGATTTCATTTCTCTCTGCATAAACCTTTTTATTTGCACTTCCTACATCGTATCAGAGATTTACCCAGAGACAATCTTAGTAACATTCACTTTCTGGAATCAATGGAAAATGACAGCAAATCCAAAAGCACATTCAGCAAATGATACCAAAAATATTATTTAATTGACATTTTATTCTGTATTTTGTTCTGTTTCTCAACCTAACCACCTACTCCAGACAGATTCTATGATTAATTTATTATCATTTCTTGTCCTGTTGGCATCCTCAGGGTTACTGACTAATTTCAGTTCTATAAATAACCTGTTTCATTTTACTCCTTCTAGTTACTTTGCAACCTTCTTTTTCTCTACTCCACCTGGGGCTCTCACTTTCAATTTAACAGAAGGCAGCAGGCAAAGATTGAGCTGAAACCCAATAATAGTACCTCCCTGCCCAAAAAACAGAACCATTTATTTCGCTTACAGTTGGAAGCAGCTGTGAGCTGCTCTGAAATCCCATAAGCAAACCCACACAAAAAATGTATTGCTTGTTAGAATAATAATAAAAATTGTTGACTTCCAAAATTTAAAAAATGCATTTGGTTGTTTTACAGAATATTTCAGTATTTGCATTGAGGAAGGACACAGAGTTCAATCATAACCCAAAATCCACTGTGTTGGGTATATCTGGCTCCACCTACAGCACTATTTAGCCACAAGCACTAGCAAATCCTCATTAGTCAGCTTTAGGTACATGAGTGCCTGCAGCAGACTTTTTTCAGCTCTTACAGACTTTGATTAGTCTTCATCCCAACTTTACCCTACATTTTCTGACCTTTCACTTTCACTTTTTTCCATATGTTTTTTGGGTCCTCTGAAAGCTTCGGCAGACTTTTGTGAATTTCTCCTACAAGTGTCAGCAAGTCCTGAAATGAAAGGAAAGTGATAAGAAATTTTATCTTGGAAAATCCTAGTGTTTGTCACATACTTGGACAAGACAGCTATCTGAATGGCCAAATCATCCTTCATATGAAGAGTCAAAAAACTGAGTCTCAATTCACAATATCCTGCAGAGCTTTCCATGAGAAGAATTAGGGAATGGCCACACTCCACATATAGCAGGAAATGAAAGCTAGCCAACTATACAGCAACCCATGGACTTTACGAAATCTGCAGTAGCTAAGGCAGTGATGTGGAGGCAGGCTGCCTCTTGTTTCCTGCCTAGGTACCCACCAAACAAAACATGATATCACTGAAACCAACTCCAGAGTCATTTCTTAGAATAAAAGTGGCAACCTTGAAAAGTGGTACCTTTCAAAAAGAAATCTTGTTGGATATGTAGGAGATGCTGCACACTAGCCATCTTCTAGGCCATACACTTCTAGAAACACATAGTCCTAAACATATGGGAGAGGAGGAGGGAGGAAGAGGGTTCTGAAGCACTGACAGGTGGAGAAACCTCACTGCAGACCCACTCTTTCTCTTTCCGTGAGTCCCTGCCAATCTTCATTAAATTAGACTCCCCTTCACTGCATCATACTGTTGGGAACCTGACGATGAAACAGTGGGGAGCAGCAAGCCCTACGTCCACACAAACAGTATTTACAAAATTAGCAACTATAGGACTACCTTTTGGTTTCGGACAGGGTCTCAGGGCATGGGAGGAGCCACGGAGTCAGGGAGAAACCATGCATATCTAACAGGAGAATTTTGTACTGACAAACATTGCTATTCCAAATCTATTATCCACCAGATGCTGCTACCTTGATCTCAGTTTAACTATAACAAAAACAATGTTTTTTTCCCCCATCTGATATCTGAGCACACTTTTTTCAAATTCAAATAGCAGAACTATAATAGGGATGTGGTGAAGAACGAGTACCAGGAACAGGCTTGGAAATTATAAGGCTGCATCTGCATCCATGCAGTGTTGCAGTCTCCGTTTAACCCATTCCTTGCCAACCAGCCAGAAAGCAAGTGAGGGAAGTCTGTGGAAATGTAAGCAGGAAACAGCATGGGGCAATGACCATATTATTTACCACTTTGTACCTGGCTAACCAACTAGAAAACAGATTGAGGGAAATAAATCTAGATGAGCTCAAAAGGAATTCTGGGACATTGTAAGCCACGTTTTCAGCCATTGCAAATCAGTCATGCCACTGATTCAGCTGCATGAAGTGAGGATGTGGCCTAATGTATGCTGTAGTAACATGGGTTAAATTCCATCCTGACTTGCAATTCATTCAGGTCAATGTGATCATGGTCATAAATTATAGTGCACTTTCAGCACACAACCCCCCCTTGCCTAATTCAGCATGTATGTAAAATGTGTCATAGCATTTCTTTGAATAACTTATGCTCACTTTGGTATATATCTGTTCTTCCAACTTTTCTTGAAGCAAACATCCCTCCATAAATGCTTTTCTTTGTCTGAGAAAGGTAACCTTGGCCAGCTCAGCCTTTTTCTTCTGACAATCAGGGCACTGCGAAGTCTGGTGTACTTTTGTTTCAGTCACCTGAAAGATGAAAAGTTGAAATAATGAGTAATATCTGTCCTAGCAGGTTGATCACAACCATTAAAAAATAGTAAGTATGTGCATATGCAAGCACATATGTGTATATGTAAAACTTCTAGAGACAAAGATTTGCACATCGAGACAGTTGTAAGTTACTTTTCTTTTTCACAGTGTACTTTTGATGAACCAGGCTGAAATGACTTTTACACTGAACTTAATTTACTTTTCGCCATGTGCTACCCTTTTCAGCATCAATAACTTAGTTTCATTTAAGGTTAATGTGTTTTTTCTCCAGCCATCATATCACTGGTTTGTACTATATCAGCTTTGTCTTTCGGTTGCTAAATTGGTCTAAAACAGAAACTGTCTACACCAAAGAGGATGGAATCTGGACCTACATGTACCAGTTGAAGCTTATTGTAAGGACACAAAGGTTACTTTTACATGGCTCAGAGAATGGGGTGGGAGTGGCATTTTAATTAGAGTGGCTCTTAGAGCCACTCTAATTAAAACACTACCATGTCTCCTGTATCAGCATCCTTGTGCTTAAAAATAGCAGTGGGGGCACTTGAACTAAAGCTCATTGAATGAGCTTTCATTTAAGAACCCCAACCGCCATTTTTAAGTGTGAGGATGCTGATACATGAGATGCAGGAAGCTGCTGAAGCACAGCAATTGCCACACTCCAGCAGACTCGATTAATCAAGTCTGTTCTAACACACTGGAATTTCAACATGCTGGAACAGCCTCAGTGCTCATGTATAGGCACCTGATTATACTGGTAACATTGAACATTTTCTGGCATAGCCTGTTTAACTCACAGTGGATTTGTCAGATTTACTCCATGGACATCTTTCCCTGTATTTATGTAGGGCATGCTTTGCTATTATATATTGGTATTTCTGTACCTAAAAGTCTCTGCTAGTGTATATCTAGCCTCATATTCCATTTTTAATAGATAATCTTTACAACTTTTAAGACAAAAAAGAACTCTGGAGCAGTATCAGTTCAAATATTTATGTGCAGTTCTGAATTAAAACTTGTGTCACATTGTAAAAGCAGTTTCCTTCAATGCACTGAACAGTATTTATAAATACCTGTGTTGGTTTATCTACCATAAAAGTTTGAAGACTTTTCAAAAAAATAACAGCATACATAATTTTGGTCTGATCTCACTTGTACAGAACTAAATGAGTAACAATTCTACAGTTTCACACGTGTAGAAACAATAACAGTTAAAAAAAAAAAAAAGGCCAGTTGACTAACAGATTTAGTAAGCTTTTTTTATTTATTTATTTATTTAGCGTGGGGGTGGGGGTTTTTTGTTGGGGTTTTTTACTAAGCATTGATAGAATAAAGGAGGTAGCTTGCTATAATTTCAAAACATTAAAAAAAACTAAAGCAGCCAATGCCCAGCAACTGACTTAAAAATAATATTCCTAGCCTGCCTGGCACAGGCTGGGCTGATGAATATGTTAACAATTACTTGTACATGCTATATGATTGTAAATTAAACCAAATGTCTGTAATAGCGTTTGAAGCAAAATAAATGACTGTCATTACTATTCAAAACTCTTTTTTTTGGTTCTATCAAAATTACTGCTCCGGATGCAGACATGCTGTACCAGTAAAAAAAAAAAAAAAAAAGCACAGACACTTGCCAAGGCCCAGATTTATGGGTAAAGGCATCTGTAGGTGATGATTGCTACAGCAGCATATTCAAGTTAGAATTCAAGGATCATTGGTGAATAAAAACAGTTTTGTGATTCCACACACGTGCATGCACGCGCGCGCGTGCGCACACACACACACACACACACACATATACACACAGCAAAAGTGCGGGAATGGTTGTCTCAGTTTGTGCGTCTTACAGAAAAGAATGCTGGGCTGGTAGAAAAGAAAAACTCTTCAAACTGCATTAAGATGATACATACACATCCTAACAAATACGCTAATGCAACCCAAATTCTCTCAGGAAGATTTTATACTTTGGGCAAGTGTTAAAAATTAAAATGGAGGAAATAGGAAAAAAAAGATCAGGCACCTAATGTTTTTACTACCAGAAGTTTTTTAAACACTGATTGTTTTACTTGCAAGAGACAGACAAATAAAACCCAACAATTTTCATTGTAATCTTAGTTTAGAAGGTATTTCATAAATGTGTTATTCTTAGCAGCAGTGAATAAACCCTTACTGAAGACTGAAATACCTTTCCTGCCTCTCCATAGATCTTACCTTTCAACCTAGAAAACTGGATGCCAGTTTTTCTAACTAGAGCTAAGCTATCTGGCACGTCACATATGCCAGTGGCCACGTGACCCAAAGGTGAATATCTACACAGCAAGATGTTTCCTTTTTGAGAAAAAAAAACTTTCCTACAGACCACATTCACATACTCTAGAGACACAAAATTAAGGAGGCGAGCAGGGACCATAACTGTGACCAGTCCCTGCACCAAACAGCAGGGAGGAGGTACATGGTGGGAGCATCTACATGTGCCCCTATGGCACTGTTGTTACTGCGCTGTCATTTAGTACTTCCTTTCAGAATTACTGAATGATGATGCAGTAACAGCCTGTACTACGCCATGCAAAACAATTTTTAGCTGCTATGTCCCTGTAGCAACACGCTATACTGAGGGAGCACATCACTAAAGTAACGTAAGTGCAGCATCACAGTTTTTGCCTGTTGATGCTGCGTTGTTGTAGTGTGTTGCTACACTGATGTAGCATCATGTGTAGATGCGCCCGATATGAGCTTTTTGGAACCCTCCACTCTTATACATTAGGATGCAAGTGGGTAGAATCTGGCCCCAAATATATTACAAAGCTATTCACATTTCTATTTTTGTGAAAGTGCCTTGATGTCCAGCCCCAGTTCTACCTCCCTTGTCTGAATATGACTAAGGGCAGAAGCAGATGTCCTGTTTGTGGCAGGACAAACTGCTTTGTTCCAGAACAGAGCAGTACCTGTTCAGACATCCCTCACAGGTATCCCAGAGCAAAGCCCAAAATCTGCTGCCACAAAAAATGTGGTAACAGTTTGTCCTGGGACACTGCAAAGGTATCTGAATGCTTATCCTTGGCAATAGAGCAGGATAGGGAACTCAGGCATTCCACAGCCACTGCTTCAACCCCAATCCCAGTCCCTCTTCACCCAAGACATGCATCTGCAAGTGTGGAGCAAGGAATCCCATGGGGGTCCCTTGCTCTGCAGCATGAAAATGCATGCCCCAGCATCTCCCTTTATACTGCAGAACAGGGGAGCTCCATGGGATTTTCTACTCTGCACTTGCAGATGCCCAGCTTAGGAGTACCCTTGCAGAAGATTCAGGGCACACGTTTCATGCTGCAGAGCAAGGGAACCCCATGGGGTTTCCCATGCTGTGCTTCCAGGTATGCACCTTGGCTCAGGGCCAGGCAACCAGGCTGTTGTCATACAAGATTGGGTCCCTGAAGCTCCAGGAGATGCAGGGACCCAGCCCTGTAAGACAACAACCCCAGGGAACATGTGTACCTGCCAATTAATTGGGATCAACTGTGCTGGGATATACCCTGGCACAGATGATCCTGTGACAAAAAAAGTGGCACTTTGTATCTTAATTGCTGAGGGCACTCTTGCAGCAGAGATGCCAAACCACCTAATGCAGCTGTATCAGATTATAACAGCTGATGCGTACTTCTAAGCAGCAGTAATCCCTACGTTTTTAAAATAGTTAAAAGATGCATTTGTCCATCCCCTCAACATGTCTCTCATGTCATATATAGTATCTCACTGAAAAATTAGCATAATGTCAGCTAGAAACTTTTATATCATTCTTTACTAACATTTACTAACAGGAGTTATTTTAACAAGAAAAATCAGAAAGGCAAATTCTGCAAAATCAGGTAAAACTCAAGCCAGCGGGAGTTCTGCTCAAGTGAGGCTTGCAGGATTTGGACCTCACTTTATTAGTTTTTCTTTTGCAGCCCTCTCCAAAAACTAGGCAAATTTAGTCTTTGGTTTCAGTACCTGTTTCATTGTCTCCCTGATATTTTTCAGGTGGATTCTGTTCACTAGCTGATCAGGAACAATACAGTTTACGGCACCTGTCACTGACTTCTCTGAAGTGAATCCATGCTGCAACTCTTTGTGTTTGCAACTGTTAGACTGCTCACAGATCAACTGATGACAGATCTGGCTTATCTTAATGGTGCAGAAATTCTGCAGAGCATCCAATTCTTCAGCTGGTACCTCAGGAATTTCTGTCAACAGTGCATCAACAAAACAAAAATGTTAATTATTGTTTCATGGCAAGAGAAGAATCAGCCTTCTATCTACTGTGACTTACCAGGTTGTTACAAAACAATGTCAAGTTTGCAGGTATTAGCATTCATAAATATAATACACCATTTACGTGGGAATCAGAATAATCACTGTAGAAAATGGCAAAATAAAGTCATCTATGAAAAAAACGGGATGGTACAAATACTGTAAGATAAGAGAGTGCTTGAGTCTACAGCAGACAATATGAATATAGATTTACTAAAGAGATGACAGGAGTTACCTTCAGTTCAGACACAAAAACTAACACAGGTCTTACGACGAATCTAGATTTAACTTCTCCATAATAGAAACTACCATCTGCTAGAGCAAAATGCATTAACATTTAAAGTGAGAAGTACAAATCAGACAAATTCCAACTTAAGTAAGGGAGGGGAAAGGGGGTTATGTAAACACATATACACATTTGTTAGGGTAGGCTCTACTGAAAGCAACTGCTGGAGAAGAAAAAGCTTAAAATAGGCCACCTAATCTATAACCAGTTCATCCTCACACTTTTTGTTTTTTAAGGAAATGTTATTACTTTAGAAAACACTTTCCTCCCAAATTTGTGTGCTCATTTAATGCGTTTTTTTACTTCATTTTGTTTAAACATCTTCCATTCTCTCACTTCCTTTCAGATTACTTTTAGCAATACATAAAAAAGCAAGATATTATATTTAAGATAAAAAGATATTGAAGAATTGAAGGCTCAACCCAGGGCTCATTAAAGTCGCTATGAATTTTTCCATTGCCTTCAGTGGATGTGAAACCCAGCACATAAAACACCCATAAAACAAGTAATAAAATCTCTTGATATTACAGATCTGGTATTTCATCAGAAGTAGGCTCCCCGAAGTCTTAAGATGTTGCATTGTTTTCAACCATTGTATGAGGGAGAGTAGGAGTATTTCACTACATCTAGATTTAAATATCTCACTTTTGCATGATTGCCAAAACTTAATTACATGCTGTTAAGCTTGTAAAGTAGATACAACCATTGTGAGGAAGAGATGTAAAAATACACCATTAAAATCATTACAAATGCCTTTGCTAGTAATTCATTCTAATGTTCGATTAGCTCCTCAAGACACACTTCTGTGACACCTACATGAAATTAGCCACATAATAATGGCAAAATGAAGGGACAGTCACAGATAACAGAATCTTTTACCAAAAAAATTTAAATTACTCAGAAACATCAAATTGTGCCCCACCTCATTTATGTGTAGTCACGATCATGTCACTGAAGCAATTAGGCTAATTGAGTTAGGCTCCGGAGCGGCGACAGTTAGGCTCCGGAGCGGCAAGAGATGTGCAGGTGAAAGCCCACTGCACCCCTGCTCCCCCAAAACCTCCCAGAGACTCCCCAGCAGCCACAGAGCCCCCTGCTGACCCCCAGCACAGCCGGAGGCAAGCGGGGCCCGTGGTGGGAGGGGGTTAACCCCTTAGTGAGTGGAAGGAGGCAGCTGAGTGGAGCCGGGCCAGGTCAAGCACTGCCCAGGCCCCAACTTTGCCCAGCCCCCCAAGGAGCTACGCAACCAGAGCCATGCGAACAGGCTGCACAAACAGGCGTGCTTGTCTGCTGGTGCATGAGTTAGCGCAGAGTTCGCACAGGAGGGTGCGCGGGAGGGCCCAAGACCCTGCCTACGAACCCTCCAGGGTAGACAGTCCCAGCCATAGCCAGCCTACCACAGGCATGACACAGACGGGCACACGCCACACTCCAAGGGTCCCCTCGGGCTCTGCGGCCCCCCGCCTCTGGCACCTCAGAGATGGCTCTCGGCTGCAAGGGCTGCCTGTCCCTTTTTCAGGCTCTGGGG